TGTCTGTTTAGTACTAGGCTAAGGCCATGTCTTAAGTACTGCAAATTCTACATCTGTGTGACACCTCAGGGCGGATGGGTGGAGGTGTTCTGCACACCCTGCCCTCAGGTGGTCTCAAGATATCCTTCCACCACCACTACCCAGAACTGTGCTGCTGACTGAGAGCTTCATAGGAAGTACCACTCCTGATATTCTCACTTTGAATCTCCTTACCTGCCTTACAGCAGTGCCCTTAAGAATCCTTAAGCTTTCCTTAACCAGCCAAATGGAAGAATGGGCTTAAAAAGCAGAGGCACATGATGCTTTTTCCCCTCTGTGTGTCAGTATGGGGTTAGTTATATCTGTACTCTGAAGTAGGCCAGCATGAATCTGCAGGAATGGCTGAGGAGGTGGAGGGAGCGCTTCTGTGGAACTCCAGGAGGGATGCGTTGTGTTGTGTTGTGGCTAGTGAGTACTAATGTGTCTGTAATTAGCCATTGACGTGCACTCTTGTCGCTGTGCTAGTACTGCTTTGTTAGAACAGTAGCACTAAATAAGCTATGAATATTAAGTGTCAGTAATTGTGCAAAACTAAAGGCTGCTGTGTCGGCAGTAATTAGCAGCTCTGTTTTCATTATGGCTGGGACTATGTTGATGTAGCGAGGGAGGGCTGTGCTTGATACATGGAGTGAGAGGTGGCGTTGTAGGACCAGAACTCTCAGCAGCCAAATGGAGCTCAGTTATTTCTTACCGGGGGGAAGAGGGGATAATCCCAGCCGCTTCTGTACAGTGTGAAGTGCCGTTCTTTTGCAAAGCTCTGTAGGACAGCTATTACTGATTATAGTAGGTTTGTGGTGAGTGATTAGATTGCTGCTGCTGGCAGACTTTGTAAATTCTTCATTAAGGCCTTTCCATTGCCTGCAATGACAGTTTCATCCTCTCAAAAACTTGCGGAGAGGTAGGTTTTTTGCTAATGACATGTCTCCTTCCAGCGAAAACTGAACTGAATCTTGAATGAAGCTAGAATTAAGAAGTTTGTTTCCATGGAAATCTCTTAGGCCTGGAAGTTGCTGTACCTTAAGGGCTGTGGAGTTTGCAAGCTGAATGAATGCCCGGCTGTTTTCCAAAGGCACCCTTTAGATAGAATATCTCTGTGTGGCTCCCACTGCAAGGGCAGCTGTCTCTGTAGTGCACTTTGTGTCTAGAATGATAGTGTTTTCCTTCCCCCTCCCCTGCTGCACTAATCTTGTTTTCCTCTCTGCCCACAGCATCTGCCATTACAGCCGTCTCTTCTGGGAGTGGGGGGAAGGTGTCAAAGTGCATGACACTCAGAAAAGGCAAGATCCAGAGAAGCTATCAAAGGAGGATGTCCTGTCTTTCATCCAAGCGCACTACCCCTAACCCTGCTCTCCTGAGGGGTGCAGGAGGGGCTGAGCCCGGCTTGGACTCTTCAGGGACTGATGAGACTGGGGAGGCTCCACAACTATCCTGGTCTTCTCCAGAGCTGATTTCCTGGAGGTGACTGAACCAGGGGGTGGTATGCAGAAGGCACAGGACGAGGCTCTACCCTGGCAGTGTATATAAGAGTATGGCCCAGGTAGTGCCTGCTGCTGGAGTACCCGTGGTGACTCCTGGAGCCGAGGCCTGACACCCTTTTGTCCTGACCTAGTGCATGTACGAGGCCAAGGGGCTGGCAGCTTTCTTTGCTCCTATTCAGTTCAGCGAGGTTGGTGGAGCTCTGTGTGTGCTAGAACTCTCCAGGCTTGTGCTTCCCTGGTAGTGTGGGAAGGACCAGAGATGTCTTGGTGGCAGAGCTGGGGAACAGCACATTGAAGCTGCCCTGCGTCCTTCCTGGCAGCTGTCTGTCTCCCCAGCCTTGTCTAAGGCCCACGCTACCCAGTGGAAGGTGTTAACTCATTGGGGATGCTAGCTTTGGGACACAAGGAGTATTCTTGTTGGTGCCTCCCAACACTTCTGTGTATCAAGGCACTTAGCTGCCCTGGCAATTCTGATGTGATGGCATCCACTGGGATAAAGGCCAACACAGGTGATGAGTTCCTGGCACAGATTTGATGTGCTCAGTGTGCCAGGGATTTCTCAGACCTCTAGAAGCTCTTTTGACAAGGATTTCCCCTTTCCAGGTCAGTGAGTGACCCTGAGCCAGCAGCCTGGGGTTAATTTGTGAACATGTCTACACCTCATGGTACTTCTGAGTCCAAGTAGATTCTTGGTACTCAACACTAATAGCCAGATCTTCAGGGAGGAAAGCAGATATGGGAGGTCTTTGGAGGAAACGATGGAAATACCTGACTTAGTTCAAAACAAAACAACCCTCAGGCTTCAATGAAGAGAGATCTTGACTTTGACCATGTTGGTTAATTGGAAAAAATCCTGCCCACTGGGAAGGTGCTGAGTCCAAGTAGATTCTTGGTACTCAACACTAATAGCCAGATCTTCAGGGAGGAAAGCAGATATGGGAGGTCTTTGGAGGAAACGATGGAAATACCTGACTTAGTTCAAAACAAAACAACCCTCAGGCTTCAATGAAGAGAGATCTTGACTTTGACCATGTTGGTTAATTGGAAAAAATCCTGCCCACTGGAAAGGTGAGCAGACTTTCCTTTTTAAATTTCAGAGTGGGCTTTGAAACCCTCTGTGTCTCATGTGGCCCTGGAACTGCATCTGGAGTGAAGGCACAGAGCGGTGAAACTTCCAGCATAGTATCTGTATGTCAACAGACTTCTCCGTGCACTTCTGTGCTGGTCTCAAAGTAGTCTTCTGTTGCATGTATTCCTTTTGATTCTGGCTCCCATGGCACACTTTTGCCAGGTCTTCCACATAAATCAGAAGATAACACACAGTTGACTGCTTTTGGTCAAGCAGCAAAATTGCCCTTTGGTTGTTCTTGGTGTGTTTTTAAATGCAGATTGGCAACAGGGTGGAAACTGATTTGGGGGCTGTCTGAACTGTGCCTTAAAGAAAGCTATAGCTCTCCTAAAATCTATAGCTGTTGTTTAGATTCTTGTTTCTTTCTCTCCACACCCATATCTATGATGTGAACAGGCTTTATGTAGCAAGACATGGAAATTTTTACTTCTAGGTGTGTAGGTCCTCCCCACCTGAAGAAGCCAGAAGAAGGATGGCATGTTGAAGTCCCACCTCCACCCTCTAATGTCCAGCATTCTATGTAGGTTTTGTGCTCGCTCTCAGCACACAGTTGAACATCACCCTACAAGTACGTTGTGCTCTCTGGGCTTGGAGCACTTCCATGTCTTCACAAGCAAACTGTCTACACATAACCATTTATTAACTCTCTACAATTTGGGATAAATTAAGACCTGCAGCTCCTTGCGTGGGAGAAAACTATACACAAGCTTGATCACTGCAGAACCACACCCATGTCTACAGGAGCAGCACAGAAGTTGGCATGGTCTGTTGGTCCATGGAAGCTGGAGGAGGCAAAGCTTGGGAGTGACCTGAATACTGGGCAGAGGAGCTATTCTGCTTCTTCTCAAGCTCTGGACAAAAGTGAAGGGGGTCAAAGCTGCTTTTCCCACATGGGCAATTATTAGTCCCCAGACAGAGGTCTACCCAAGCAGCTGAGGGGAAAGCATGTGGTTAATGCATCCTCTTGCTCATCTGTAGACCTTCTCTGCTCTCAAGCATCAGTTAAAAGATGTATGAAAGAAATGGCAGCCCTTCCCCCACAAAGAACAAGAGGCCCGTCACTGGCAACTTTATTGTTGGCAAAGGCACTTCCATGAGGGATGAAGAGGAATTCCTCCTAGTGGGCAATAAAGAACCTCCCAACTGTGTGGTTTCCAGGCCTGTGCGCAGTTGGCTTTTTAAACCAAGCAGTAATTTGAGTTCTGGTGCTTTGGCCTGCCTTGAGGCTGTTCCAGTGCCAGCGAAGCATGCTGCTCCCTTTGCCAAGCGTTGTGTCCTCCGCTCAGGGCTCTGGTCTTGTGCAGGCTGGCAGACAGAAGGATGACTGGGAAGTACACCAGGGTGTGAACATAGGCCTCTCAGGGTACAAAACCAACTGGTTAGCCTGCAGGCTAGCTTTTATGAACAAGTAGTTTCTGTTTACCCAGTTGCCTCCAGCTCCTCCTGATTTTAATTGGCTTTTAATTTTATTTCTGATGCACTGAACTTTGATTTTGAATCCCCCCTTCAAGAAGGCCAGCGTAGCCACCATGCAACTTGCTTCCGTGCTGCAGAATAAATACAGAGGGGTTATTCTGGGAAGGGGGGTGAGGAAGGTCTTGATGAAGGGAATGTTTATGTACATTAATTGCACAACATATTGTTACTAGGCTGTGTATCATTTTGTGTTGACTTCTCTGCTTTCCTGGTCTCTCTATTACCAATACAGCCCCTTTAGTTCAAAAAAGTGCTTGTTTATTTTCCACAAAATTTTGGCCAGTAGTGTGTGTCAGGATGGAAATGGAGAAATGTCTTGCACAGTTCAATTCTAAAGGCAATCCCCTTTTAAAGGCTTCCCTGGCAAGCCAGAGCACACTGAGGGCTACCCGGTGGATATTACTGGATCAGAATGAGAGGGGACTACAGGCGACAGTCTCCAGCAGTCCTCTGCAGCATGCCAGGATGCTTTCTTGCTCAAAGTAGATTCCAGGCCACAACAAACCAGTAACTCAGTGGTAACTCAGTGCTGACAGGATGTTAAGCACCTCAGCCAGTCTAAACTTACTGTGGTGCAACATGTGTCAGCAAAGAGATGGCAGGATGAGAAGAATAAAGAAACAACTGAGAGGCATGTTCCAAAACAGGAAAAAAAGAAAGTTACAAGGTCAAATTATTTTATTTAATGCCCTCCGAAGACACCTCTGTACCTGGAATTTGACAGTAAATTCTCTTCTGCAAGTGTTGATTCTCAGAGGCACAAATGGTTACCAAGCTCTGATGCACTGGAGAGGTAGGTAAATCTTCTCAAAGCCCAAGCACACAGATCTCAAGTTGGATGTTCCCTGCTTGAAGAGAAAGAGATACCTACCTCCTGTCTGGTTTTGTGGAAGTAGGACTCCTTTGGTCCTGTAAGTCTGTGTGGAGGAAATTATCTTTGTTCAGCTCAGGTCTGGGGACAGGTGGAGTCTTTAGGTCAATACCCAGGTTATCCTTTGATTTAAAGAGCTTGATTGTCCCTTCAGTTTATGGCTGAGTCACAGGAACCAAGATGACTGGGCTGGGCAGAGAGCACTTGTCTGCAACCACAGAGGTCCTCTTCAAAAGGGAGAATGTCTTGCCTTCCTGCATCAGGCTGGGTGGTCTTAATGTTTTGGGTAAGACAGCACCTCGAGCTCTGCTTGCCTCTTATTGCCAGTCACAAATGCGCTGCGATTTCTGGTTTTGTCTCCTGTCCCCCTCAGTTCTCAGGAGAAAAAGCTTCCCTACAACAAGGCTTGGAGAGGATAAACAAGAACAGCAATTTGAAATGCTGCTCCTCGCTCTTAGGGGAGGCACAATGGTGAGAGGAGGAAGAGCTCCTTGCAGGAGAGTCATTTGGTCAGCAGGGAGAATGCTTGAGTGCAATCACATTGTCCAGCAGGCGTAAATAAGAGCAATCAGCAACCCCATGGCCACAGCAAGGGCAGCGTTCTTGCGATTCTCCTTACGAAGCACACTCAGTTCTCTCTCTGGGAAACAAACAAAAGTCTTGCCTGTGAACATTGTTCACGTTGCTGCTACATCTCCTTTCAAAACTGTCTCAAAAGCATGCTACCTTGGCCCTAGCCAAGGCTCTTTGGAGCAGTATGCAAAACTGTCAATTAGAAGATGTGCTGAATGGGAAGTAAACTAGCAGGAACCCTTTCATTTGCAAAGTCTTGGCCGTTTGTGTTTGCAAACGACCTTGTTCTTGTTAACCACTACAGACTGAATGGGTCGTTAGAATAATTGCTTATTCCCCAAAAGAATGAAGGTCATAGAATGTTTTGGGCTGGAAGGGACCTTTAAAGGTCTTCTAGTTCAACACCACACCACACCACCCCCCCTCCCCGTAGTGAGCAGGGACATCTTAAACTAGATCAGGTTTTTTAGACCCCCATAATTAAGGCTGACCTTGAGTATCTGCAGAGGTGGGGCCTCCACCACCTCTCTGGGCAACCTGTGCCAGTGTTTCACCACTCTCACATTGAAGAACTTCCTGATACCTAATCTAAACCTACTTTGCTCTAGTTCAAAACCATTACCCCTCATCCTGTCACTACACACCCTTGTAAACAGAGGGCAGAGAGCACTTACTATCTCCTAGATGTAACAGCCTGGTACCTTTTCATAGTGGTTAAATTTACTTAAATACAACTGTGGCCACTTTTGGATGTTGCACAATCTGGCTTTCCTTGCGCCCCAGAAGGCTGACTGTGGAACAGGTCTGAGCCAGGACACTCATTCTGTTTGGGGCTTTTTAGATGCAGGTTATTTTCTCTGGCCCTGGTTTACAAAAGAGGAAGGAACAAATACAGAGAGAGAGGCATCACCATTAGGTGAGGCTGTTGCTGCTTTCTGAGCAGCCTGTCGGATTGCTCTGCCTGAGTGCTGGTACAAGAGTGGCAGCGATGTGGAGTCTTATGCCGTCTCTAGTGATAGGCCTTTAGGGAATAGCTCTGAATCTGTAAAGTAACTGTTATTCTTCTGGAAACAGTCCTTTAACATGAGTTAAAATTACAAATTTGCTGGCCGTGCCCTAGCTCTCAACTCTCCAGGCCTAAAAGAACACTTGTGCTTCTTTCCCTTTGTGTGAGCCTGGACACCAGGAGTGTGAAGACACGCTTAGCAGCATCCCCAACATAATGAAGTGCTGTCAAATGTGCGGTAGCTCAGAGTGAGTGACTCTTGTTTTTAACTGACTGCAGCAGGGAAAGATCCCGGCTCTATGAAACTGCAGGAAGGACATCAGTGTGAATCCCTATGCTTTTGTACTGAACGGCCCAAGAAACTGATGCAGTGAGAGCGCTCCCCAAGAAAGGTACATTTTGCTAAGCTCTAGACCGTATTTGCCAGCTAGTTTAGTAAGCCTCTATTAAAAAGGAAAAAAAATCCACGAAACAAAATCCATCCAAAAAACAGGAGGGGGAGTATGTTAAAAGCCAATGAAGCTTGACCAAGATTATCTAAAGACTGGTAATTTGGGGTATGTTACCCCCTTATTAGCTGATACTTATTTTTTTCCCTATGATAGCACAGCTCAAGCAGGAGGATCCTGACTCCTATTATAATATGCTGACTAGATTTCCCTCATCCTAGCTTCCTTTGGTTGAGTGTAAATTCAAAGGCAGAAGTCAGAGATGGCAGGAGCTTGACGATGAAGCTAAGCTGCAGCACTGATCCTCTCCAGCCCGGAGGGACCATTTTTAATGAAGCTCTTACCATAGTTGTCAGCTTTGGTCATTAGTAAGTTTCTCTCTTTCTCCAGTGACTTTCTGTAATGAGAAGAAGAGTTCATTATCGGCAAGGCACAACACAGCTTATTTCTTTGCTTATATGATGGAAGAGAGACTATCCCACTGCTGGAAATATCTGCTAAGAGAACGAGCCCCTCACCCTTCACTGTGGTGAGGTGACAGTTTAGAAACCCCCAGCTGTGCTACAGAAGAGATGCAGCAGTTTTAGATTATTTTTTTCTTCCTCCAAACTGCTTTGTACCTCTCCTTTCATGCCAGTGTCAGTGTAAGCAAGCACCCTAGAAAGCAGCCTGTCCGTCAGAGCCCCCTAACTCTGTTCCCCCACATGGGGTAGGAAGTTCTGCCACAGCTCCAGGCTGGGGCAGGGTCACTACATAAGCTCTCCAGGATTCTGCCCCTCCAGCTTAGTGATGGAATGCTGATTCTTCTCACCGACTGAAGCTGGGATCCAATTTACACAAACTGGTCAACTCAAGGAAATTACCTGAATCCAAGCCCAGTAACAACCAGTCAAACAATCTGTTATTACACTGATGACTCAGGATAATAACAACGAAGAGTAAGTCAGCAAACCCACCTCTTGTCTTAAACTGCTGATTAATTAATACACAGTTTAAAATATAAAAGCAAAACAAATTGCCTGAAAGGAGCAGTGTTTCCATTATGGCAGCAAGGACAGGGTCACTCCTTTCAGACTGCGTGCATATAAATAAACATGCACTAACAAATTATCTCCCGGTTCAGAGCAGACAGAGAAGGCAGTGTAAGTGTAACCGAGTTTGTTGTTCCCCTTGGGGCAGAGCAAGAACCTGCAGGAGGAAAGAGATCCAAATCTATGTGTACAGCTAGTTAAGTAAGGGACGTCAAGAAAGCAAGCTACGTCAGAGCAGCATGAGAGGAAAAGGCTCAGAAAGGCAACTGGGGAAAGGCAACATGGAGTGCAGCCGGGAGGAAGCAAGAAGACAGATTTACCGACGTGACTGAGCTGCTCCTTAGAAACTTGCCTTGTGAAGAGTCAAGGGAAGAGGCTTTGAGAATGAGACATGAAGAAACCATGACAACTGAACTTCAAAATGGGAAAGCAGAGCTCTCCTTTGTGTACTACTCGCTGAATCAATGATTTTGATCATGGTACTTTCCTCCAGGGTTTTTCAAATGGTTTGGATTAGGGCAACAGAATTTCTGTTTCTATCTCCATACAAGTTGTAGAATTTAGGAATGCCTATTCCTTATTCTTTGCTCTAGGCCCTACATTTCAGAGAAAAATCACAGAGATATATTCCATCCTGTCAAGTTACCACAACTGGAGGTTTAGCTGTTGGCCACCGAAGTACCAGATAAAGAATACAGACGGTAAACATAAAAAGAATTTACACCTAAAAAAGAATTTAGGCCTAGAAAAGGACCGTTGAGATAAGAATCCAGAGAGAATCTCCAGGACGATACAGGACTCTGTCCAAACATGGATGCAGATATAAAAGCCCAGTAAGAAGGGTGGGGTGGGGACAGAGTGTGAGTGGGAAAGAGAAGTAAAGAAGTTAAGCCGAGGCTGATTACATATCAGGATATGGAGATGTCACCACGGCTTGGATCATTTCTAACCGGATTCTGTAGGTCAGTACTGTAGAACAGACACCACGACCAACAGGACCACTCCCTGGGCCTGTGATTGAAATTCCCAGCCTTTATTGCTAGGAGCAGAGTAGTAGGATGCTGGTGACTGAAGAATGTCCTCAAGCAGAAACTTTTGAGAATCTGATGGGCCATCTAGGACCTCTCGCTTCACACTGTAGAGAAATACCATTTTCTGCTCATCTGCTGCAAAATCCATGTCAAAGTCCTTGCTTGAGTCCCAGCTCTATCTAGAAGCCTACAGTTGCATCTTCTACGTCCGTGACAGATTTCAGGGCAACTATCCCTCTTCCTCTTCTCAAGGAAATACAGTGTGCCACTGCATCCCTACATCGAGATACACTGCCAACAGAGGCACAGATAAATTTCCCTCTGCCCCTTTTGCGCTGCATCCCAGCCTCGTTTGGTCCTCTGCAGCAGTTGCTGCACATCTCCCCTGACTGAGCTCAGGCAGCTTCAGCAGGGCTGGAGCAGCAGCATCTGGTGAACCTTTGCTGGACTCACAGAGCTGTTTCCTAGCAGGCCAGGAGCCAGCTCTGCAGAAGAACTGGCAAATTTTGGGCACTGCTTGGTTGGTTGTGGTGCAGGCTGGAGAGCAAGGATGTCAATAAAATAAAGCCCTCTCCATGTATCACTGAACTGCTCACTCCGGCAAGCTACCCAAGTAAGCTGCAAGCTGGCGGAAGAGTCTTGTCATGGGGAACAACACATGCCCATCCCTTCGAGAGTGCTTGCTCAGTACTACAGCAGGATGACAGCTAGTGGAAGTGCAAGGCCACAGCTGCAACAGGAGGTGGTCATCAATACCTTCCTTCAGGGCTGAGCTGCCCTCTGCGCAGCTGAAGATCCACCTCCTCCATGCTCTGTCTGCAACGCGCCAGCTTCTCCTCCAGTCCATCAATCTGAAACAAACCACACCAGTCACTGTCACTGCCTCCCCCAGCTAACGTGCATCCATCCTCACTCAGATGGGGAGGGCAGAAGAACTCAGCCGCTCCACCTCCTTCCTCCTCAAATCAAGGGAGGAACATGCCCATCTCTGCACAGCAACAGAGAGCCCATCACCAACCAGATCAGCCTGTACTACAGCCCAGGCCACTGCAACACTAATCCCAGACACAGCCAAGACAGCTCGAACACTCCTCGACCTGTGTGGCTGGCCAGCACGTTTTTGCTAAGATCTGATCCTCTTTCGGATTCTTTGCATGTGGCTCCAGAAGCAAAGGTGTAATCTAAGGCAACTTTATGCAATTAAAAGAGGATAAAATGAGATAAATTGGCCTTGGCCAAAGCCTGAGGGACAAGATCTTGATTTCATGCTGTGAACAGGTGCAGTTCATGGGACGTGACTACACAGCATGGTTGGGTGAAGAGGTCACAAAGGGGAAAACCTAATATCTACCGTCTCTTTTACCCAACATACAACAGCCAATATCAGTCCTAACAGTATGCTCAAGAGAGCATTCACTACTGCCTCCACATGTGTTGCCTGGTCGAGTCGAGAGGTGGCGTCCCTGCCCATGACAGGGAGGTTGGACTAGATGATCTCTAAGGTCCCTTCCAGCCTAGGCCATTCTATGATTCTATGACCTGCACCATGTTCCCAGGCAGAAAAACATTTGTCATTTCCTTGCTGTCTCCTCATCTCCTAAGAGCCACCTTCCCTCCAGGCCTTCCTGTGGAGGGGATTAACTGTGGGTAAGTACAAGAGGGATGATCTACTTGTGTGCAAAGCGACTGTCCAGAAGGGAGTCCTACCATGGACAACAGTTCTCCTGGGTATCATTCCTCTTTTCTGCCTGGCAACCAGGGCATTGACATCTTTAGGAAAACTTTGTCATTCAGACTTGCTTCCAGCAAGGAAACAGTGTGACTAATCAGGTAATATGAATGCAGCATCCTAGCCTGAAAGAAAATGGCCTTGTTGCCCTGAGGTGGCAATGACCTCTCTTTTTGGCTACTTAGCACAATGCTCCTGCTGTGTCCAATTCTCCAAACAAGGCCAAGGCTGGTGAGATGGTTGCCAGCACGGTCTCTCTGTGGTGGGCAGCACGGTCCCATGTAAAGTACTGAGGTGGAATGAGACACTAGCTGCCTGGACATCAGCCTCAGAGGTCGCCCAGAGCACAAACACTACCATAAACAGGGATACAGGAAACAAAATCAAAAGGTAATGATCCCTAATTATCGCTGCTTTGGGAATCAGCTCCATCCTGAGCTCATTAGCAATCTCACATCTTCTGCTCAGGAAAGGCAGGTGAGCATTCTAAATGAGCAGGATGGGAGAGGAGGCTTGACATAAAGGGGAGGACAAAGCAGACTGGAAAGGAGTTTAGCCGCGCAGCTGAGCAGTCTCACTGCAAGGAGCACAGTAGAGCTGGGGATGGGACCACATCTAGCAAGGCACAGATAAATCTTTGCATCTTAACCAGACAGCGATTTCAAAGTCCTTTGTTATTAGGGAACTCTGCCGTGGCTGTTGAGACGCCAAGCTCCCAGAGGGACCTGCACGTTCTCCCCTGTGGTCCCAAGGGGAGAACGAAGGCACAGGACCCCATCCCAGAAATGGCGCTTCTGCGTTTGGCAATGCTTGGGTTTGCCTGGATGGGGACACATGTATTTTTGAAGCATGTTAGCTGAAAATACATTTGGCAAAGTTAATTGTCCTCGTCCGTATCCAGAACGTTAACTTGAGCTGCTCATCACTACTTGTCGTTCACCACAGCGCAGTCAGTGAGATGCACTGCCCCAGTCTCCTTAAGGGCCAACCAAGGGCTTTACCCAAATCAGCTCTGACCACGCTTATCAGACAGTTAATTTAATGGTAGAGTGAAGGTGGAGTCTCTGTCCAGTCCAATTTAGAACTTAAACCATCTCACCAGTTCCTGCCCTTTGCAAATGACCACGTCCTTGCTCCCTTATCTGTCAGAAGCCCTCACATTCACACACAGCACAAAGTACTTGAGCATGTGTTACCTGGCTCCTCCCCAGCCAGTAAACTTATTACAAATGCACCATGCCTTCTCTGGAAACACACTTAGAAATCATGTCAAATAATCCAATTTAATGAGAGGTTTGGTAAGTCTGCTGCCAACCCCACCACTAAATCATCCGCTTCACTGCCCTTCCTCTCCCCCAGAACTGCTCCTCCTGCTCAGTTTGCAGTTGCTCTCACCAGCGCATTCTCTGCCCATACTTCCATCATTTCACGAGACATAACAAGACGATGTTCTGCCCAACTCTGCCAATGCTTTTACTTTCTGCTGACTAAAAATCTCCAGATTCCACATAATATTTTAAAAGTTTCAACTGAGTTTGCTGCTCTTAAATCAAAACCAAAGTCTGGGTCCCCTGCTGAAAAGCAATAATTTGCTAATAAACCACATGCCCTAAAACTGCACCATCAGCTTTGCTGAGCTGGGGGCACAAGGGACAGAAAATAATAATAATAAAAAAAGCAAGGAAGAAGAAACAGATTGCTGAATGAACAGAATATTTCTCCTCCAGAATCTCACTAATTCTTTAGTTCAGGCTAGTCCGGGGTATTAGGGGTTGCAAGGAAGGACACGAGTGAGGATTCCCAGCTGTTATCCATTCACTGTGCCTCAGTTTCCCTACTTATAAATTAGGATAACAGCATCTGCTTCCTGGAGGTGGCACATTTACACAAGGAGCCTCACACACCGACAAACTACGAGCAGAGCACTATCTTCACGTGTCAGTGCCACTGCCTCACTTGGGATTTGTTCCTGCAAGCTGGGAATCTCTCAGCAGCTCAGCCACCCAAGTAACTCTTCACTGTAGGGCAAAGGAAAGGGAGAAACAGAAAATAAGCACAGGGAGAAATCAAAGTAATGCCTGGGAGTTACCGACTACTCTCTCTGGGCTGCCGACAAAATTCCCAGGGGGGCTGTAGCCTGTAAAGCTGTAGCACAAGAAAACCTGTTGAGCTTTGGCATCATTCCTTGCAGCAGCTCTCCAGGAGAGCAATCCCAGAGGCAGCTGCGTACCTGATCTTTTTGTGGATGGATCATAGGAATCAAAGACCAGATGCCTCCCTCGCTCCACAAGGCATAAGAAGGAGCCGTTTCTAGAGAATTCTGGCAATGCTGGCTCACAACCTGAAGACCGTTTTAAACCAGAGAGACCTGGAGCAGATTTCAGTTCAAACTGACTTACATGCTTATATTACAAATCTCATTTGTTGGGACCATCTTGGGCAGAGAGCTGAAAATGGCTCGCACAAAGGCAGAGAGAGACAGAAAAGAAGCAGCTTTGCTTACAGAGTTGAGCTGGATCCCTTTTAATACGTTCCGTAATGAATTAATAAAAGCTTTCTTTCCAGCAGAAAGACTAAAAGCGCTTTTCAAGAACTGGCATCCACCCTTCGCTTTTATGAATTCCCTAATTAAGATACTGGCAAAGAGCCATATCACACATACGTTGATATCCAACAGTGTTAGGTAATGAGGTTTTCGTCTTCTGACCCTCATAAAACAGATCAAAGCCAAATGAAGAGGTGGGGGCAAAGAAAAAACCTTCCCCAAGCAGTCTCATGCCTTGTCACCTGCCAGCACACTTGAGCCATTCTTTTCACAGAAGAATTAGTGGTTCCTGCATCTACAATTTTAGCTGGACTATTAAAATCAGTCCAGCAGAGACAAGTTTTGTTTAAATTAAAATGCTAACTTCCAGTTCATGGCCACAATTCCATTTTCACAGCCCTCCTGGAATCATTTTGCAAGCTGGCAAAACGTTTTGCAGGTGCTGTGCCCACAGCATGCTTGGAAATATTTAGCAGGCAAGCTACTACACAGCAGAGGATGATCCACCAGCAAAGTCTAGCAGATGAGCCCTCCATTTTGCTAAAGGAGAAAGGGATGGATCCCTCCTGCATTCAGAGCACTAGGAATTAGGGAAAGCATCTCCTGCATCTCCTTTGCCAGCTTTGCAGAGAATATTCTGTCAGTCAGCCCACCTGCTCAGCCCAGCAGCTCTGCAGGACAGCAAACAGACTGACTACACAGCATCGCCCGCAGCTTTTTGAAAAGTCCTGTCGGAGCAGCTTTACAGAGTAAAGACTGTGTTGACAATGTTTTCCGTATTCTTTACGGTCTCACACAGACATTGATCAGCCACTACCCTACCAGAAGCAGCGAAATGTGTAAAAACACCTTCCCCAAACACACACTACACATAGAACTGAAGAATAGTATCATCTGGAAGAGACCTAGAAGATCATTGAGTCCAGCCTTTGTTCCAGCCCTATCAACCCACTAAACGGTTCCCCTCAACATCCACCCGTCTCTTAAACACCTCCAGGGATGGTGACTCAACCACCTCCCCGGGCAGCCTGTTCCAGTGCCTGACAACCCTTTCAGTAAAGAAATTCTTCCTAATATCCAACCTGAACCTCCCCTGGCGCAATTTAAATCCATTTCCCCTCATTTTATCACTCGTCACTAGGGAGAACTGACCAACCTCCCACCTTGCTACAACCTCCTTTCAGGTAGTTGTAGAGAGAGATGAGCTCTCCCCTCAATCTCCTCTTCCCCAGGCTAAACAGCCCCAGATCCCTCAGTCATTCCTTGTACAACACATGCTCCAAACCCTTTACCAGCTTGGTAGCCACCTCTGCACCCTCTCCAGTACCTCAGTGTCCCTCTTGTAGTGAGGGGCCCAAAACTGGACACAGTACTCAAGGTGCGGCCTCGGGCACTGCCCAAGCACAGGGTGTTAGAATTATAGAATCATAGAATTATTGAGGTTAGAAAAAAATCTGCAAGATCATCAAGTCCAACTGTGTTGTCCTCTTTGCGCTTAATAGCACAAATTTTCTGCTTCCATGATTTTTTTTTCAGTTGTTCTCCAAGCCACATTATGTTTTTAAAGGCTGCAACGCCCCCTGGCAAGGAGTTTCACAGCACAGCCACAGGTTATGTGAAGAACAAATGCCTCCCGTTCATTCTGAGCTTGTCAGCTGCTAGTTCTATTTGATAGCCCTAATTCTGTATTGACAGTGAACGGTCATTCTTTGTTTAAAGTTAGAAATTGCAGGCAGAGGACACAGACGCATATTGGGTCTCCCTCCACTCACATTTTCATGCTTAAAAGGACCTGGTCTGCTTGGTTGTTTCTTGAATAGAAGTTTTCCACACCTTTGATCATCCTTGTAACTCTCTTAAGCTCATTCCATTTTCACTATTTTGCCACAGACCAGTCTTCCCTTTTTTTTTTCTGGCGAGTTTCCTCAAGAAAATTCTGTGCAGCTCAGAGTTGTCAATAGGGCTGCCTGTTGAAAGACTATGGAGCTATATGGAAGGAGAAGCAGCATGAGTTTACCACCACAATATTATGGAGACACATTTATATCAGTTTAAACCAGGTCGTCTCAATTATACCTGCAATTTGTAAGTGCAGGCTAATCTGATAAGTGTCTATATAGAAAATTGCATTCATTTACCATCATGACTTCAGTTAAACAAGCATGACTCTGCTTAGATTGGTCCTTTCAAAGCTAGCCATGCATCATGTCATATTAAGACTCATTTGGAAAGTTTTCTTTACAATCATAACAGCTCAGAAGGTAATACTGAACTGAGTAGAAGTTTAAATTATGAAATCAATATCTTGGCTGTCACGCATTCTAACATCTGAAACACAGCCCTCTTGTCCTCTGCCTCAAAGGGATTTTGATTTCTTCATCCTTAGCTTATATCCAGCACCTTTCTCACCACTGCGAGGGGGATTTTATCTTTTAGTAGTATCTTTGCACAGAGAGAGACAAAGTTTTTGTCTATAACAAACTGAAGAATAGTTCTACAAACCTTACAAAAGTAGTGTGTTCTATCATGACAACTTCTGGAAAAAAAAATAAATCTAAAGCTACCAGAAGTCCCTAAACCCTTTGCAAGAATCTTCTGTGGCAGCTAACACCAGTCCCTTTTGTTCTGTGACCAGAAGGTCCCTGAGAGGCTCCCCCTTTTTACCACCTCTCTTTCTGCCAGGTAGACTGTACCATCTCAGCTCTCCTTGTCTCCTACATTTCAAACAATGACCAATAAAAATTCATCCTTTCAACTCTCCCCACTAGGCTCACTGAAGAGACGGGTTTGGACAGTCCCAGAGACTCCCCTCTGGACTTCCTTGGGTGGTAATATTTGGGTAAGAGTTTCTCTAATGAAAGCCTAAGTAGGTGAAACAGACCAGAAAACAACTACAAACTCCCATTCATATGACACAGAAGGACACTCACCTTTACATTACTGGCTGATGAAGCATTTATGACAAGCCCCAAGTCCCTTCCCTAGCCTTTCTACCCTGGCTATCTTGGTCTGATGTGCATTTGCTCATCTGAAAGACCTCAGGTCAGAGAGGCGACCATTGAGATCCACTGGACTGATTCTGCCCCATTTCAGCCATCTGTTAGGAAGGTTCAGGTTTTTGCTGTCCCCAAAGTATCCACAATCCACAGACGTGAACTATGGGCTCTCCACTGCCTCCTGCAAGTCCAGACACTGGAGCCACAATGACGTATGCTTCAGAGAGCTCTTACCTTTTCAGAGAGATTTTAACTAACGTGCCTCACTTTGTTAATACAAATATAATGCTTAAAGTCCACCAGCAGCCCTCCTGTCACTCAGCAGATTACAAACCACCCAAGTGCGGCAATAAAACTGCAGATTTAGAATCACAGAATTATTAAGGTTGGAAAAAACCTCCAAGATCATTAAGTCCAACCATCAACCCAACACTAGCATGACCACTGAACCATACCCTGACGTGCTGTGTCTATGGGTTTACTGAATAGCCCCAGGGATGGTGACTCCACTAACTTCCCAGGGCAGCCTGTTCCAATGCTTCACCGCTGTTTTAGTAAATTTTTCCTAACATCCAAACTAAACCTCCCCTGGTGCAACCTGAGAACATTTTGTCTTGTCCTAGCCTAGTAACTTGGGAGAAGCTTCAGAGGTTACAGTTACCGTGAGCAACGAGGTCTCCCCTCAGGCTCCTCCAGACTAAACAGGCCCAGTTCCCTCAGCCGCTCCTCACCAGGCTTGTTCTCCAGACCCTTCACCACCTTCACTGGGCTTCTCTGGACCTGCTCCAGCACCTCAACGTCGGTCTTATACTGCAGTGCCCAAAACTGGACACAGCACTCAAGGTGGGACCTCGCCAAAGCCGAGTACAGGGGCATGATCACAGAATCACAGAATCATTATGGTTGGAAAGG